AAAATACAGCACAACAATCCAAAGATACCTGCCTGATAGATTCAGATCACCAAGATCCTCACAGCCTTTGTTATTTATGCAAGTATTGGAAGGAAGTCATTTTTGAGGGTACGTGTAATTAAAACTACTTCCAAATCACTGTGTGTTGCTATCTTGCTGAAGAATTAAGTGATGGGGCCACACTGTGTACCGCAGACAATGTGATCTGAACCATTCATTGAGTATTCTGCCCAGCAGATCACACTGACAGGAGAAGGGCATGTTCTCCAGGGTTCAGGCTCATGGTTCTTTCCCATGGTTAAAGTCTGTTTTTGAGACAGTAAGTTTCTCAAACTGGCCTCAAACTTATGATTCTCCTGCCTCAGCCTCCCAAGCAGCCAGGATTAGAGATGTGTGTACCATGCTTACTTCCTCCCCAACTGGCCTTTTCCTTTATTAAACTTTTAAAAGTGAAATCTAGAATCTCTGATACACTTTCTCTTACAGCTTTAAGTGTTTAGGAGAAAATGCATCAGACACTCACTTGTCTACCCTTAATCCTACAAGGAATCTCTAGCTTTCTCCCTACAAGAAAGCTGCTGGTTATCTTCCTTCATATACTACCCTCATGCCAATGGCTCAGTTCAGTATCTGAAATAGTGTGAGTTTTCTTTTATACAATTAATATAATGTACATTCTTCATGCTAATAGGTTTGGTTTTCTTTTTTCTTAGGGTCTCACTATGTAACCCAGGCTGACCTTGAACGCACAATCCTCCTGCTTCAGACAAGAGTGGGTTTGCTTTTCTTTAGCGTTAAAGTTTTCAATTGTTAATCCTTCAAAAATAACTTGTTTACTTCTTCTCATAAAGAAAGTATTAATAGAGAATTTGTAAATGATTCTGGGGATCTTGTTAAACAAAGTAGAGACATGGGCCCGAGATTTAGCTCAGTGGTGCTGCCACCTGCCTCGCAACTGCAAAGTTCTGAGTTCAATCCCTGGTACCAAAAAGTAAAATAAAAGAGATGATTGAGTTATAATTTTAAAAATAACAAAAATAAAATCTATTTTCTTCACTCTCATCTCATCACATACACTGTACTATTTTCTAGAGATACACATTTCAATTCCAGGTCTTCATATCTCTAGCCATCTACTGCCCAGAATTTTTATGTCACCTGCCTAATATTCACTTCAGATCCTAACCAGGTTTATTTTTCCCGCTCTGTATGCTCTGAATCAAAAGTAATCTTTAGTTCTGCAAGACAGAATGGCACAAAATGCAGAGATACAGAGACAAAGAGAACTTGGTTTCTTCTTGTTAGATGGGCTTAGGCTGTAGTTGTGCCAACTGTAATTTCATTTTTTTGGTACCAGGGATCGAACTCAGGACCATGCACTTGCGAGGCTGGCTGTGGCACCATTGAGCTAAATCCCTGGCCTGCCAATTGTAATTTTTACATAAGTTCTCTATATATTTAAATATTTGCTTGTTTTTGTTTTTTTTTAGAAAGACTGATATTATTACTTTTGTGTAAATTCTAATTTCTTGGTTTTTCATCCTCTCATATACCCATCTTTGGCTGGCATTCTATGTTTTCATTCAGTAAAGTCCCTTACTGATGAAGCCTGTGTTTACTTCTTAAGGAAAGCAACCAGGAGTGGTGGCACATGCCTGTAATCCCAGCACTTTCGAGGCTGAGGCAGGAGGATGCTGAGAGTTCAAGGCCAGCCTGGGCTACATAGCCTGAACTACATAGCGAAACCCTGTCTCAAAAAGACAAAAACAAAAACTCCTTAAGGTAAGCTAACACTTTCTGTTTGGTGTATTTCTCCCCATAAAACCTAACCAATGCCTGGCAAAGGTATATGTGGCATTTACTAAAGACTGCTTCATACTGATGCTTCTGACCCTGTACTGAATAAAATTTTCCAAGGAATACAGTACTCAAACATGAGGAATTACTGCAGGATGTACAGGAAGAAGACATAGAATTATATTCACTAAAAGAGCATGTTAAAAGTTTACATTAATAAAACTTCATGTTCAAAGTTCTTTTCATCCAAGAAGCCCAAAACCATTTATAAGCCTTAAGAGTCTTGACAAATAATGCATATAAACATTAACTATTACCTTTTGCAAGTCGCTTCAGGCCTAACTTGCTGTAAGAGAGCAAGGACACCACACCACAGCCCAGAGAGTGCCTGAGGTGTCGAGTTAAGTGATACACACTTCTCTGGCATATTCCCAGCTATCTCAGCATTCATCTCCCTTTTATGAAGAACTGTTGATCTCATTCAAAATTATCTCAATGGCATCATGACACTGTGCAGAAAAAGAAACGTGCTCTACAAAGTGGAGGGCAATACTTGGTGACCAGGCTTGAGGCCCACCCCTCCTTCGCATTCCAACAGCTGGGCTGGGCAGAGAATAATGAAGGGTACCAAGCTACAGGTTTAATGATTCTTTCCATTAGCAGCCCACTCTCCTGCACACCGCCTATTTTCTATTTCAAATCAGTGGCTAATAGGTATTATGGGGCATGTGTGGAATATCTGCAATTACAATTCCATACTAGGCTCTCTGATTTTAAAAGTTCAAAGGGTTTTGTTTCCTGTTATGAAAGCCACCATGCCAACCTAAAAGTTATTTTAGCAATCCTATACTACAGTGGATGTATCCAGTTACACTGCTAGTTTATCCTTTTTCTGAAGTCTGATTTTATAATTTTCTGTCCGGTTTTAGTGTCTCTAAATTTCTTTTTTTAGTAATACATGTCTGTAATACATGATAATTACATTCATCTTGGGGAATTAGTACATGTATCTTAATCATTTTTACCTCCCCCTTCCCTCTGTGAGCTCCTGTTCTGCATCTCTTTAAAAACTTAAATTTTCTTTTCACTAAATTCAAGATCAGGTATAAATGGTTTCTGCAAAACTGTTCACTATGAAAGAGTTTTATGTAATTGTTACAATTCATTCCTACTCTCAAAGATTTAAAAAAATATATTTCTAGTTCCTTTGTATCCACAGGATCTCCACATCTAACATAAGTACTTAAATGATAACATAACTTTAATATAAAATTTTGCTCATGTTGTAATTTTAATTGTATGTTACCGATTTTACATCTTTTCTAATTTTCTAAACAGCGTTCATCTACTTTATAGGGTAATACATTTTGAAGGGGTGAACCCAGGCCTTCATACATACTAAGTGTGTTCTCTACCACTGTGCTACATCTTCCCGCTCCCAATACAGTCCTGAAACCCCAAAATCAAGTGAGGAAATACAAACAACAGACTTAAGGGCTTTCTAATCTTAACTAGCTAAAACTGATCATCAAACCCCTAATTACATTTTGTAATCATTGGGTATTCTATTGTCTTTTGCCTTATTATTTTGCTTTTAATGAAAGGAAAACAGAAAAATAGAAATGGTACTAATCATATGATGAAACAAACTAAGCAGCTTTTGACTCAATATAGTTGAGACTAAGATGGAAATTATTAATTGAAAAAAAGTAATATTGTTTCATTTGGATGCTCACTGGACAGCCACATACTCCACTGTTAAGAAAAACAGCCTTTGAGGGCCGGGGATCTAGCTCAGTGGTTTCACCACCTGCCTTGCAAGCGGAAGGACCCGAGTTCGATCCCCGATACCAAAAAAAAAAAGAAAGAAAAACAGCCTTTAAAATCATGTATGAGGAGCTGGGTACAGGGGGCCCCTATATTTCAAGCTCTTGGGAAGCTGAAGCCAGAAAAATCACTTGAACCCAGGAGTTCAGGGCCAGCCTGGGCAACACAGCAAAATTTCATTCTCAAATCAAATATTCCACCATTGCTGGGAATAATAGCACTGCCTGTGGTCCCAGCAGTGAGCTTGAGGCAGAAGTGTTACAAGTTCAAGCCCAGCCTGGGTAACTTAACAAGACCCTATCTCAACATAAAAGTATAAAAAGTCCACGATATGGTTCAGTGGAAGTTCTAGGTTCAACCCCAGTACCACAAAAACAAAACCAACCTATGGATAAGATGCTGGACACAAAGGGTCGCATAGCAGCACTGTCACAGAGAAGACACTGTAAGCACTGAGCCACTGCTTAAAGTCTACAATGTCAGCTTATGATGCTCATTAGCCCCCAACCCACTGCACCAAGACAGGCAGATTGGGCGTGGGACTCCACCCAGTGTCTAGGACAATGTAGATCTAACCACCAAACAAATGCTTGTTTTACAGTACAGAAAAAGGCATTCTTATTTCAAAAGGCACAACTATTGCATGTCAAGCTCTAAAAAAAAGAATATGGGGCCTGAGATTTAGCTCAGTGGTGCAAGGTCCTGAGTTCGATCCCCGGTACAAAAAACGAAAACAGAATATGCTTGTTAGGATTTATTTTTATATTGTGGTGGGGTTGGTGAGGCTGGAGAGAGAGGATAAAATGAATCTAGCCACTGATCCTCTTTATTTCCTTAAAGACTCCAGTTTAGAGCTGGGGGTGGTGGTGCACACCTGTAATACCAGCTCTGGGGCAGCTGAGGCAGGAGGATCACACTGAGTTCAAGGCTAACCTCGGCTACCCAGTGAGCTTAAGATCAGCCTAAACTACATAGCTAGACCCTGTCTCAAAAAAAAAAAAGACTCTAGTTTAAGTTTTAGGGTTCTGAGATTTGTTTTGCTGGCCTGACTTGTGGCTTGGTGCTCGAAACCCTGTCAAGAACAACAGAGTTAATTCATAAAGCTAGGGAGAGTCACTCACTGAGTTAGTGTTCCAGCCTCAGAGAGCACAGAGCAGTAGATGCTCGGGGACCCTGGAAAAGCAGTGTTTTAGAAGCAAAGTCAGCAGGAGAATCACAAATCAAGGACCACACCAGGCTGCTGCTACTACTATTCTGAAAACTGTCCCAAAGAACTTTCAGTGAGATACCAATGCTAAGATTGAGTTCTGTAACACAGTCACACTAAAACGCTAACCCTGAGGATAAGCAAAAAATATGGTAGGAAGTGCACTTACTTATAGCTTCGAAAGTAAACCTTCCCCTTCAGAGCGGTGAAGTGCAGAACATACTCTAACCCAGCCAGGCGGATATTTGCTACTGTGGGGCCTCTGAAGAAATCTAAAAGCACACAGTAAGTTGTTAAAACAAAACACAAAACAAAAACTCAACATACTTTTAAAATTCTGTTATGAAGTGGTGCATTCTCAGTGTCCCATTTTGCACCAATACTTACGCAAAAGGTAAGACAGGTAGGTAGCAAAAATGATCCATGAAAAATGGACAACTGGGCTGGGGATTTAGCTCAGTGGTTCCAGTGTCTGCCTCACAAGCACAAGGTCCTGAGCTCGATCCCCAGTACCAAAAAAAAAAAAAATGAAATGTTTAAATTTTGGGCCGGGGATTTAGCTCAGTGGCTTCGCCGTCTGCTACACAAGTGCAAGGACCCGAGTTCAATCCCCGGTACCAAAACAAACAAACAAACAAAAAAAGGGCAACCACCTCTGAGACATTTTATCTCATGAATTTATTTATGTGCTCAGTTCACTGGGACATGCAGTGTTTCACATTTGAAGTTTGCCCTTTTAAACTCAATATAGCATCATCATATTTACCATGTTTGTAAACTTTACAAAAGAATGTAGACCACGGTATAAAACTGTAGTTTGGGGCCAGGGATGTACAGTGGCACTGCACCTGCCTGGCAAGCACAAGGTCCTGAATTCAATCCCTGGAACCAGAAAAAAAAAAAAAGAAACAAACTATAGTCTGCAGACAGGTACATGACAAGTCCAGGACTGTCACAAGGCGCACAATGAGTCCAAGACACCAAAGGAGGAATGAATTAAAACATGTCCAGATACAAAACACTGACTAAAATACCTGGCTTTAAAATGGCAGGATGAAGCCAGATGTGATGGAGCATGCCTAATCATGGCACTCGGGAGACTGAAGCAGAAGGACCATCACAAGTTTGAGGCCAGCTTAGGCTACACAGTGAGTTCAGATCCAGCCAAAACTACACAGCAAGACTCTGTCTTGACAGATAGATGACTAATTGATAGATAGATAGATAGATAGATAGGAGGCAGTATGATGGCTGAAGTAAAAAGTCAGGTATTGTGAGTACAGGGATAAAGATAAAAACCCAGTTAAATAGAGAGGGGTGGCAGAGGTTGACGATGAGCTGGCTGTAGTCAGAAATTACATACTTCAAGTTTGGATTTTTTCAATGAATTAATTCCAAGCAAAAATAAGATCTCAAGGGGCTGGGGATTTAGCTCAGTGGCACTGCACCTGCATCGCAAGCGCAAGGGCCTGAGTTCGATCCCTGGTACCAAAAAAAAAGATCAAGTAAGTTTGTATATCTAAGTAAATAAAGTGGAAAGGTAGGCAGCAGATTGACCAGGGTACTTAAGAGGAAAAAATATGGTGATTAGGAGTCAGGGTATAAAATCAGATCCTAATTCTGCCACTTACTAATAACTTTTCACCCTAGGCAATTACCTGATCTCAATTCCCTCATCCATAGTTTGGAATAATATTGCTGTTATGAACTCAGTATTTGTGTCCTCTCAATATTTATATGTTGAAACCCTAATCCGCAATGTGGCTGCATTTACTTATATATTCATTCATTTCATGCTGCTGGGGATGGAACCCAGGACCACCTGGTGCATGTTAGATAAGTGCTCTATCACTGAGCTACGTCTCTAGCTGCACATGGAAGTACTATGAAATGGGGCCTCTAAAGCAGTAATGAAGTTTAAATGAACTCATAACAGATAAGATTAGAGCCCTCATTAAAAAAAAAAAATGAGGAAGCTTGTTCATTGGCTCCTTCCTTCTCTCTCATGAATCAAAGGCAGGCCCTGGGAGGACACAAGTGAAAAAACAGCCATTTGAAGCCAGGAAGGGAGCTCATATCAGAAGGACTGACAGGAATCTACATCTTGGACCTTATGCCTCTAGAACCATGACAAAGTACATAGTTTAAGCTACCAAGTTAAAGATATATTTTGTCAGCCCAAGAAAACTAGTTCAGTTATCTCTGAGGCAATATAGAGAAGACTAAATTTAATAAATTACCTGACCCAACCTATAGTGGTTATTTTCACTATTGCATACTTTTCAAATGGAGTAACAAATGAGGACATGAGAAAGGTAAAAAATTAAAATTAAAATGATGACACCTGATACAGTCATAACCACTGACATAAATAAAGACAATGAAGAAAAAGAAATCTACTTAGGTAAATAGTGGGTCTTTTTTTGTTTATTTTTTGGTTTTTTTGAGACAGGGTCTTGATTTATAATAGACTGGCTTTGAACTTACTATGTAGCCCAGGCTGGTCTCAAACTTGTGGCAAGCCTCCTGCCTCAGCTTCCTAAGTGCTAGGATTACAGGTGTGTGCCACCACACCTGGCCAAATAGTACAGTTGAAGTAGTATTTGATAAAACCAAAAATTTATTATGTCATTTACTATCAACTTTACATATAAATAGTTACATTTTAAAAAAAGGAACCCTAAAAATGAGAATAACTGGGGATGCAGTGCCTAGTGTCACTAAGTAGTAGAGGGTGTGCCTAGCATGAGTGCTGCCTTGGGCTTGACCCTCAGCATTAAAAGTAAAATAAAAGGAAAGAAAATTAGGATGGGCTGAATCTAAAAATAGTTATATATGGGGCCGGGGATTTAGCTCAGTGGTGCCACCGCCTCCCTTGCAAGCACAAGGTCCTGAGTTCGATCCCTGGTACCAATTAATAAATAAATAATTAATTAATAAAAATAGTTATGTACTGGTTTTCTATTAAGAAAAGCAGCTCCACCAGCCATGGTGGTGAACCCCTGTAATACCAGCATTCGGTAGGGGGGCTAAGGCAGGAAGATAAGTTAAGAGTTCAAGGCCAGCCTGTGCTACATACTGCGTTCAAGACAAGCTTTAACTAGATAGCAAGACCTTGATTTAAAAAAACCAAACAAACCAAAAAAGGCTGGGTATAGTGGCACAAGCCTGTATTCCCAGCATTTGGAAGAGGCAGGAGAATTGCCATGAGTTTGAGACCAGCCTGGGCTACCCAATGAGCTCAAGGCCAGCCTGAACTAAGTAGCAAGACTGTTTTAAAAAACCAGAAAAGGGCTGGGGATTTAGCTCTTAGCTCAGTGGTTCCGCCGCCTGACTCAAAAGCACAACGTCCCGAGTTCGAACTCCAGTACCAAAAAAAAAAAAAGAAAAAGAAAAAGAAATGAAATGAAAAGCAAAAAGCAGTTCCCATTAAATTTATTATGCAAGGGCCAGGGATTTAGCTCAGTGGTTTTGCCGCCTGCTGCACAAGTGCAAGGACCCAAGTTCGATCCCCGGTACCAAAAAAAAAAAAAAAAAATTATTATGCAAGTCTATACAATACAGTATTCAAGGAAGCAGAAAAGAAACTTCCTAGAAAGCCCTTAATTTCTTTCTCCACTGATCTACTATTCAGTGTACTACACAGCCATGCACCAGATAAGGATGTTTCAGTTGTGCCGGGGATTTAGCTCAGTGGTTCCGCCGCCTGCCTTGCAAGCGTAAGGTCCTGAGTTCAATCTCCGGTACCACAAAAAGAAAAAAAAGGCTCTTTCAGTCAACAAAGACCACATATAGTACATAATCATCTAGTGATGTCCCAGCTGTGTTAATCTGCGTAAACGCTACGCTCATACATTGACAAAATCACCTTGTGACACATTTTTCAGAACGTACGCTCTTCATTAAATTTTCACTTATTACTACTTCATCTAAACACACACAAACAAGGAGTTGTCTTACTTCACATTTATACCTTACCGAAAACCCAACTTCCTCTGTGCCCTAGTAGAACCTCATTCCTCACCTCTGGTTTTCACGCCTTTCCCTCACTCTGCTTTATGTGGTCACTCCTGCCACCTAGTGGACGCACAGAATAATGAGACACCAGGGCTTAACCCAAACAAAAAGCGATTCTGTTTTAACAAATTACCTCCCTCGCTAACAATAATTGTACAGGAGATGAGGGGATCAGGGAGAAAATGTGAACCAATAGAGGTCAAACAATAGATATATTGCCTGAAAATCTCACTGAAAAATACTCTTTTGATACTTTGGAGTATATTATAGTGAAAGAATATCAGTCACTACTATTCATATACAGATTTAATTCACAGAAAATATAGGTGGGGAATGGTAGTATAGCTCAATGGCAGAACATTTGCTTAGCATGTGCAAAACACCTGGTTCAATTCCCTTTGCCACCCCTCCCCAACTCCAAAAAGAGAGTAAGTCAACTATAAAATGACCTGACAGGTTCTCATGAGAATGAAGCACTCAATAAAAAGTACCCAGCAAATGCTTGGCACTTAGGATGATGATAATGAAATAAAAGGAGCCAGCGAGGTCACGGAGGGTTTTCTAGAAAAGACGCTTGATCTAAAACTCAAGAATGGCAGAAACTGGGCACATAAGACACCAGACAGCTGGGAATGTAGCTCAGTGAAGAGCACTTGCCTAGAATACATGAGTCAGCCCCTGCGTTCAACCCCCAGCCCCACACCTGTGCATGTGCACACACACACACACAAACACATATACACACACACACATCCCACAGGAACCTTAAAAAAGACATGCAAGCAGAAGAGAGACTATTATTAGACAAGAGAAAGGGAGGGAGGAGGGTGTAATGGAGGGGGATGGGGAGAATAGATATTATCAAAATGTTATATGGATGAAAAGCCATCATGAAACACAGTATTTTATAAAATTAATATGGCATTCAAAAGAATATCTCCATAGAAGACAATAGGAATGTGCATAGTACAAGCCATTTTTAATGAAGATGAAGGAAATCAAGAGGGCAGGTATATTATGAAAGGTTTATCAAACTAAGGTCCTTTGAGTTAAAAATGGATAATGTACAAAAATATTAAAATTTCAATCTTTCAATTTTCTAAATTTAATGGTCATCAAAGACAGATGAAGAACATATTAAAAAAAAGCATAAAACACCATTTTAACAAGATGATACTTTAGTTATTACAGCACCAAAAATAATCATTTACAGCATACAGCAATCCCTTTAACTCTACTAGGATAGTTAAGCACTTTTTCTGTTGCTAATAAAACTAATGAAAATGAAAAATGCAAAAAAGAAAAAGAAGAAAAACTTGCACCCTCCGAGAGAAGTGGTAAAGTGGCACCAACCAAAGTCTCAGGCTGTCTACTCAAGGTGCCTTGCAGATAATACTAACATACTTACCAATAAGAAGACTTTTTAGTCTTTTGTAGTCTTCTGTAGTGTCAAAATCATCACCAGCAAATATTATCATGGGTTTTGTTCCCTCAGGACATTTACTATTCTATGAAACGGAAAAAAATCATAATTATCAAAATCCAAACTTTTTATAGCCTTTTCTTCCCCATGAGGCTGGGGACTGAGCCCAGTGTCTCCCCGTGCTAGGCAAACACTACCCACTGAACTACATGGCCTGAGCCCCACACACTGATTTTAAGACAATGAACATTTCTATACAGCAATGTTTTCCAATTTTTATTAACTGCCCTAAAACAATGTCTGCAAATGTTGATTTTTAAACTTTAAATACAGAGATGCAATTTGATACACTTACCACATTCTATTTCATAATCCTTCTCAAAAGAGATATAAAGATGCAAGTCTGAAAGGGGGTTATACTGTGTCTAGTAGCCACAATATTACAGGATCAGCCAGAGCTTCCAAGGCTCAAATAGAAAATTTTACTGATTGGTGGTGGGGGGTGGGGGATGTTGGCCATAGTGTGGATAAAACCCAGGGCCTTTCAACACAGATACATCCTTAGCCTTTTATTTTTCATTTTGAGACAAGATCTAAGTCACTGTTATGCAGGCTGGGCTCCAACTTGTGATTCTCCTGCCTCAGCCTTCTGGAGTGCTGGGATTACAAGCATGTGCCATCCATCATGGCCTCTCTGGTATTTCTGAAGTTTCATAAAGTAAGTGCTATGATCATCCAGAGGGAGAGGAAAGCATTAAAACTATGAACCTAGATAACAGCTATGTTATATGCTATAAATATATTCTTCTTTTTAAAAAGTAAAGGTGAAGTAAAATTATATTTGTTAGAAAATGCCCAAATTAAAAAAAAACAAAAAACTGAAGTTCTTTATCTACAAAAGTTTATCAGTAGCTGGGTGTGGTGGTCCATGCCAACAATCCCAGCCACTTAGAAGCCTGAGGCAGGAGGATTCCAAGTACAGTAAATACCCGACTGGACCCACAGGTCCAACAAAGTGAGTCTTTGATACAAATATACTATGTAAAGTATTTAAAAAAACAAATGCGAGGTCCACTCCTATTTGTGAAAGCTCACAACTCAATGTTTTTAAGTTGGAAACTTACTGTACAGGCCAGCCTAAGCAACTTACAGAGACCCTGTCTCAAAACAAAATTCAAAAAGTAAAAGAGAAAGGGCTGGGGATTTAGCTCAGTGGTGCCGCCCCCTGCCTCAAAAGTGCAAGGTCCTGAGTTTGATCCCCAGTACCAAAAAAAATAAAAGTAAAACAAAAAAAGGCTGAGGGGGGCCGGGGATTTAGCTTAGTGCCACCATGCCTGCCTCACAAGGGCAAGGTCCTAAATTCAATCCCTGGTACAGGGGAAAAAAGAGGGGGCTGAGGGTATGGCTCAGTCATAGAGCCCTTACATAGCATGCTTAAGGACCTTTGTTCAATCCCCAGTACTACACACACAAAACAATTAATACCCTTCATCACAAGAGAGTACTATTGGCCAAAAAAAACTATAAAATACATTCTATCTTTATAATCAATATCTTACCTTAATATCTTTTAGAGACACAAATTTCTCAATACCTAATTCAATCATATCCAGCACATGGTAGTCATACATACGACCTAAAAGAAGAATCCATTTTTAAGCATTTTTTTTTTTTTTACTGGTACATGATTATAGTACATGATGCTTATACTTGTTGTAGGAAGCTGGTACGTGTTCATGACACTTCTTCTCTTTCCTCCCTGCCAGATCTCTTGGATCCCTTATGCTCTAGTAACTACCTGGTCCATGTACACAGCACTTGACAATACCTCCCCCCAGCCCCGTTCTTATTCTCATTTCCCTCTGTCTTTCAGTTCCCTTCCCATATGCCAAAGATCCATCTCACCATTTTCTACTGTCTTTTATTTTGCCCTCTTTATATATGGGGCTTCTCATATAAAAGAAACCATGCAGTACTTAAGTTGTATGTCTGATTTATTTAACATTATGTTCTCAAGGTGAACCCATTTTCCAACAAATGACTTATGTTGATCCTGCTTTATGGTTCAGTAGTACTCCAGTGTATATATACTATACTTTCTTTATCCATTCATCTGTTGATGACATATATGCCACTTACAAAATTAAGCTATTATGAATTGTGCTGCTATAAATATGGGTATGCATGTATCACTACAATATGATGTCTTAGTCTTCTGGTAAGATACCTAAAAGGTTAACAGTTCCATCAAATGGAATTTCTATTTTTATTTTAAGGAATCTCCATACTGATTTCCATAGTGGTTGTACCAGTTTATATTCTCATCAGCAATGAAAGGTTCTTTTTTCCCTACAGCCTCTTTAGCATGTTATTACTTGATTTCGTGAAGACAGCCATTCTTTCTGGAGTAAGATGGACTTTCAGTGTGTTTTTTTTTTTCCTGGTACCAGGGAACGACCTCAGGACCTTGCACCTGCAAGGCAGGCATGGCACCACTGAGCTAAATCCCCAGCCCTCAGTGTGGTTTTAATTTGGATTTCTCAAATGGCCAGCCATGTCGAACATTTTTTCATGTACCTATCAGCCATCTGTACTCTTTCATCTGAGAACTTTTCAGACTGGGTTTTTTAATTTGGGAGTCTAATTTTTTTGAGTTCTTAATATATTCTAGATATTAGTCCTTTGTCTGATGAGTACCTGGAAGTTTTTTTCTCATTCTGTAGGCTGTCTCTTCACTCTGTGGTGGTTTTTCTTTTTTTGGTACCAGGGATCAAACTCAGGATCTTTCGCTCGCAAGGCAGGCAGTGGCACCACTGAGCTAAATCCCTGGCCCTGTGGTTTTCTTTGTTGTGCAGAAGCTTTTTAATTTGATATAATCCTATTTGTTGATTCTTGATGTTATTTCCTGTTGAACTGGGATTCTATTCAGAAAGTCTTTGTCTACACCTATGTTTTGTTCAAGAGTTTTATTTTGCCTTCCAGCAGATTGTTTCTGTTTTTAATACAGAACTTTAAACCATTTTGATGTTAGTTTGGTGCATGATGAGAGATACGAGTCTAGGTTCAATCTTCAGCATATGGATAACCAGTTTTCCCAGCATCATTTGTTCAAGGGGCTGTCTTTCCTCCAAAGGCAAGGTAGCTCAGTGTGCCTGGAGTCATTTCTGCATCCTATATTCTAATCCAATGACCCACTAGGTTTTTTGTTGTTGTTGTTGTTTGTTTTGCTAATATCATCTAATCACTGTAGCTTTGTACCATAACTTGGAAGTCTGGGGTTGTGATTCCTCCTGACTTGCCCTTGCTGCCCAAAATTGCTTTTGCTATTCTAGGTCTCTTCCAGTTTTATCTGAATCTTAGGATAGTTTTCTCTAGTTCTGTGAGGAATGCCATAGGTATTTTTTTGGGGATTATGTACATCTGTATAACAGTTTTGGAGGTACAGTATGGCCATTTTAATTATACTAGTGTATCTTTCCATTTTCTGATGTCCTCTTCAATCTTAAGCACGTCTTTGCCCAATAAAGGGCTGATGTATACCTATTTATCTACATGTTCAAAATGCCCTATGCCTCTTTTCTTTTTCCCTATACCCCCTTCAATCATGCTCCACCTCCCACCCCCAATACTAGGGTCTGGATGCAGGACCTTAGCACTGAGCTACACCTTGTCTTTTTTTATAGTTTTAGTTTAAGACAGGGTCTCACTTTAGTCCCTGTGTTGTTCAGGCTGTGACACTCCTGCCTTAGCACACATCACCACACCTGGCTCATGCTCCCTCTTTCTTAAACTTTCGACTCTACCTAAACTGGACTGTTAGGATGTTAGCCACAGATGAACCTTAGAGAGCATTTAGCCTACCTCCTTCATTTTACAAAATAAATGGGAACTCAAAGAGTAGCTCAGCAGTATGAAGTCCACTTAGCATGTGCAAGGCCCTGGGTTCAAACCTCAGTGAGCACACATACACATACACAGGAAAACTAGGCTTGATGGCACATGCCTATAATACCAGCACTTGGGAGGCTGAGGCAGGAGGATCACTGCGAGTTTGAGGCCAGCCTGAGCTACATACTGAGTTTTAGGCCAACTCAAACTCATAGTGAGACCCTGTCTCAAAAACAAAAACAAGAAGAGTTCAGGACTAGTCTGGGCTATATAGCAAAACAGTCAGAGGACGAAGGGGGGTAGGGGAGGGGAGGGAGGGAACCCAGGCCCAAACAAGGTAAAGAGTTTGCCTAAGCCAGTGAGCATGCCAGATCAAAACTCAAACACACAAGCAAGGGTTCTTTTAAAAATGTACTTATGCAAGGGCCGGGGATTTAGCTCAGTGGTTCCGCTGCCTGCCTCACAAGTGCCAAGGTCCCAAGTTCAATCCCCAGTACAAAAAAAAAAAAGTACTTAAGCAAGAGATATTATGAGTTAATTTATATGAATAAATATGCTTTTCCCCCTAACTCTAATCATATTTCATTTTAGAAAAATACAACCTGAGGCAATGTTCCCTCCAATTCTAGTAGATCAATGATCTATGGGCATTCAATTTAAGTACAAAGTAACCATGTTGCATCTACAACCAGAGAGACAGGGATGCTGAATCTCAGGGCCACACTTTGTTTTAACCAGAGCTTGCTTTGACAGTCAGAAGCAATGGTATCCTAATACACATGAATAACTGCGGAACTCTTCCATATTCTTTCCTACTCGTGTTACTTCCATCTATTGGTAGGACAATATTAATATGCTCTGTTCTTTACCTGGAGACTAGCAGGCAATTTTTTCTCCCCATGTTGGGACTTTACCCAGGACTTCACACTTGCTAAGCTAGTGCTCTGCCACTGAGCTAGACTCCAGCCCAGAAAAATCATTTCTTTCAGTGTCACAAAGAAAAAGAAAAAACCTACTTTAGAGCTTACTGGTTACTTCTGAATCCTGAGCACTACTAGTTTATCTGAATCACAGAAATAACTATAAATAAAAACATAAATGGAAATGATACTTACCTATTACTAGGTTATTGGGGCGCTTCTTATTATGGGATCCAAACATGAATAAAGAACAATCTGACTTCTTTGAAAAGAACTCCTATAAAACCAAGCAACAATAACACCAAAAGAATGTTAAGAATGTTACCTCTTTTAAAATATCAGTTTTTTCCCCCAAAGGAATTTAATGAAGACAATGAACTAGATATGAATAGAGAAAAAAATACTTTTAGCTTTTTACTTCAAATTTTCTAATTTGGGTTATCTAGAAGCAAATATTATACTTTAAGATTAAAAATACATGAAAACCATTAGGTTAATAAGCAAACAAATTTATTTTGCTATATAGTGTTTTAGAATAGCATATCAAGTGTCTCATTTGCTGAATAAATTCCCTTACTCAGGACCAGGGATTTAGCTCAATGGCCCCCGCCTGCCTGGTAAGCACAAAGTCCTGAGTTTGATCCCAAGTACCAGAAAAAAAATTCCCTTATTCACAGAACATAGCTATTACCATCAATGGCCCTACTATCTAGGGGATCCACATGAATTTATCAATACAGTGTTTTGGATATTTGTAACTGAATTCATGAATTTAAATGCATATCACTACTTATCATTACAAACTTGCAACTACAGGATTTTGACCCTCAATCTCCATGCCACTCCAGCGGTGACTACTGTACTTTCCATGCTGGACACTTGGCAGGGCTGGCTGAGGCACATATGAATCCCAATGTAAGATCACTCTTCTTTGGCTCTCAGAATATTGGCTTTTACCTGAGTGTGGTGGAACATGTCTGTAATCCCAGAACTCTGGGCAACTTACCAACTTAGAGAGACCCTATCTCAAAAAGTAAGAAAGGGGCAAAAATAAATAAATAAAATAAAATAAAGGGCCAGGGATTTAGCTCAGTGGTTTCACCGCCGGCTGCGCAAGCGCAAGGACCTGAGTTCAATGCCCAGTACTAAAAAATAAAAAATAAAATAAAATAAAAAGTAAGAAAGGGGCTGGGATGTAGCTCAATGCAAAGACCTTGGGTTCAATCCCAGTCACACACACGCACACACACATGGATACAAGGGGACACATACACACACCATGCACTGGCTTCCATTACAGGTTTGAGGACTGGAAATATAGGCACAACATTTAATCCTGAGGCATTCCTTTTACACTATGCGTATATTCACTGTGTCCCACATACTTTGATTCAAATTACTGAATTCACCAATCTTAGCACAAAAATTAGATTCAAAGTGTTCTGTTGATCTGGGCAGAGTGGTGCACACCTGTAATACCAGCACTCAGGAGAGGATCACTGCAAGTGCAAGGCCAGCCTGGGCAACACAGTGAAATCCTATCTCCAAAAAAAAAAAAAAAAAAAAAAATCAGCTGAAAACCTCTCAAATTAATGACCAAAAAATTAAATAGACAGATAAAACAGCCATAATCCTCAACCTTTTCTTCGCTGGTAAAAAGACTTAAGTATGGGCCCCTGAGTGGTTATCATTCAACCCAGTACCTAAACAGAAGCAAACGGGGCAAAAAACCACCCACCTGCCTATCAGCTCCCAGTGTGAAGAAAATAAAGTCAGAAAGTTCAAGAATTTAGGCTCTGCCATTTACTATGGCATTGGACGAGTTAACACTTCTGAGAATTTTATTATCAGAGAAAACCTGCAAGAGTCATATAACTTGTTGTGAGCATTTCCTATATAGTCTGGTACAAGGAGATGTTCAAAAATGCTGTCTAAAAAAGAACAAAAAATAAAAATACTGTCTTAAATCAACAAGAATGCTTTCCCTTTTTTTGTTTTTTTCCAGACAGGGTTTTGTTATATAGTTCAGGCTAGCCTTGAACTCACTATGTAGCCCAGGCTGGCCTCAAACTCACAGCGATCCTCTTGCCTCAGCCTCCCAAGGGCTGGGGATTACAGGCGTGCACCACCATGCCTAGCGGGAATGCTTTCTTAAAATGTGCATGTGTATGTGTGCATGCTTGCACGTATGTTTTCAACAGTCTCGTTTCATGATTAACTCCCCAAAATACCTTCACTTGAGTGTTATACAACTGTCACTCTTCTCTACAAAGTCTGCTTTTTATTTGCTAAAATTCTAGAGCAAGGGCAGTCATTATCTTTACAAAGTCCACTTAGTTAAATATGTTAGGCTTTTTACATGGGTGTTTATGCTTGGTTTTTGGTACTCGGGATTAGACCCAGGGCCATACCCACGCTAAACACACCTCTACCACCTCTACAACCGCCTGCAATGCTTTTTATTTTTTTAAATAATTCTTTAAAATGCCAAAATTCTTATTTCATGAGCCTTACACAAACAGGGATTTTGTCCACAGACAATGTATTTTTGGCAACTTCTGCTGAGGCTGGAGGACCATGGGTTCAAGGCCAGCCTGGGCCACACAGTGAGACCTTATCTTGAAAACACAAAGACCCATAAGAAACAGAACTGTGGGATAATCCTGTATTTTTACTTCCATGACCTCTTCACCAAATGACTGAAAAAACATGACACTGAAATGAAATGGAAGTTACATATTTAAAAAAGAGAATAAACATTTTAAAGAGACTGGATAAAATTTATTTTGCCAATATGTATTTTTTTCAATACCGGGGATCGAACTCAGGACCTTGCACTGAGCTAAATCCCCAGGCAGCCAATATATTTTTAATTTTTTTAACTTTTAATTTTTCACTGCAGTTAGCTTCTACATCAGGAATTGTATTTTTTTTTTTTTTTTTGCAGTACTAGGGATCAAACTCAGGACCTTGCACTTGCCAGGCAGGTACAGTGCCACTGAGCTAAATCCCCGACCCCAGAATTTAATTTTAATCTTTGAATTATTGATATTCTATTCAAACATTATTTCTTTTAAACTCACAAATCAGAAGAAAAAATGAGTCCCTATAAAGAGAACTTAATCACATCCTTATTTTTGTTAAGTTGTAGTTTTTGTTGTTGTTTTATGGTGGTGGGGACTGAACCCATGGCCTTGGCACTGGGCTACATCTCTAATGCCCCCTCCCACCCTTTTTAAAAAATCTTTATATTTTGAGACAGAGTCTAGCTTGGTTGCTCAGGCTGGGCTCAAAGCTCCTGCTTCAGCCTAATAAAATGATGAGATTACAGGCATGTGCCACCACACCAGGATAAATTTAAATACTTTAAAACACTTATTTTCTTTTTTTTTTTTGTCTGGTACCGGGGATCAAACTCTGGTCCTTGCGATTGCACAGCAGGCAGCGAAACCACTGAGCTACATCCCCGGCCCAAAACACTTATTTTCTTAATACTGTTAAGTTTCTTAAGAAAGCTGGACATGGCACTATAGTAATCCTGGCACTGTGGAGACTGAGGCAGGAAGATCTCCAGTTGGAGGCCAGCTTGAATTAGGGACCCTCTCAAAGCAAAAAACAATGTCAAACAAAAACAATTTTTTTCTTCAAGAAATTGATATAATCACATTCTCAATATTCATTCATCATTCACCATTTACCTCAAAGTTTTATCTTCTGATTTCATTCATTACCCCTTTTCATTTAGTGTTGGTTGACAATACACTCAAAAAGGAATCTGACTAACTCCAGCAAAGCAAATGACAACTGTTAGCAATAATTCAGGTAGTATTCTTTGTTCTAAAAATATGTGAAGGGCGAAGTCAATTTTCAAAAATTCTTCTTTGGAGACAGGGTCTTGCTGTGTGCCTCAGTCTCTGGAGTGCCAGGATTACAGGCCTGGCTAAAACTTTAACTTCTTCATAATAACAGATAGATCCTATAATCCCAGCAATCTGGGAGGCTGAAGTAGAAGTATTTCAAATTCAAGCCCAGCCTGAGACTACATCTCAGAATGAAAAATAAACAAGGGCTGTGAATGTAGCTCAGTGCAAAAGCCCTGGTTCAGTCTCCAGTAACACATACAGAGAACTAAAGTGTTGTTAATCACAAAGCAAAGGCCTGTAATACATTGAAAATAAAAGGCTACAAATCAAAACATGCTGCTAGAGAAAATCAATACCACAAAGGAAAAAAGGAAATAAAGATCTCTAAGAAGCTTTCTTTGATAATTCATTAATTATGCACTTAAATACAATTCAATTTCTAAAAGCAATATACGTAGAAGCAATGAATAATAACATTTATTGGCAATAGTTAAAGATCTTGGGAAGCTGAGGCAAGAGGATGAAGTCAGACATTCAAAGCTAGTTTAGACAACCTGGCAAGACCCTGTCCTTGGCCTCCTAAAAAATAAGATCTATAGTTATATTTTTAAAGGAACAAAGGTCTTGTTTTTCTTCTATTTTTTAATCAAAATTCTCTCACATGGGATGTCTAGTTTTTTTAGAAAAACATCAGAAATTCATGAAACATGAAAAATTATACGTGCTCTTAAGAAGATTCTTTGGCAGGGGCAGGGGCGGTGGTTACAGGGATTGAACTCAGGACCTCACACTTGCCAGGCAGGCGCTGTGCTGCTGAGCTACATCCCCGGCCCCAAGAAGACTGTTATACTTACCAGTGATGTCTGATCCTCAAATGGTCTTGTAATATTTTTCCTAAGAATATTAACAAAAGATGACTCCAAGGTTAATAATCTTGCTAAGTAAATCCAAATAATACTTGCATAAGTTTAAGATAATTATATACTTGGATGATTAAAAAAAAACTGGAAAAGCCAGGTGTGGTGGCTGGAAAGATAATCATTCAGATACTTCTTTAATATCTACTTTATGATAGGCATGGTTCTAGAAGCAAAGGACACTATAATGCTATGTCAAATAATGTTAATATGCTTGCTTTTATGAAGATTTTTCTTTTGACATGGTCTTTCTGTAGCCCAGGCCAGCCAGACTTGAACTCACTATATAGGTCAGGCTGGTCTTTAATTCCCAATCCTTCTGCCTCAGCCTCCCAAGTGCTGGGATTTCTATGTGCGCCACCACATCAGCTCATGGAGCTTATATTCTATTGAAAAACTAATAAATTCAATAAGCAATAGTAGTCAGCTGGGCATGGTTGTACACACGTGTAATCCCAGTACTCAGGAAGCTGAGGCAGGAAGACTGCCACAGGTTCAAGGCTGCCTTAGACTACATAGTGAGTTCAAGATCAGCCTGTCCTGTTTCAAAAAAAAAAGCAATAGTAGTGACAAAAACAAAATAAGGCATTGTGTTAGTGTGAAGAGTAAAAAATGACTGAGGGCTGGGGATTCAGCTCAGCGGTTCCACTGCCTGCCTTGCAAGCGCAAGGTCCCAAGTTCAATCGCCGGTACCAAAGAAAATGACTATGATCTGAGACCTGACTAATGGGTTAGCCACTGCGAAGTTCTGAGGTTAAGATTATTCTCAGAGAGAACAGAATGAACAAAGACTCTGAGATAGACATGAAAAACTCTTCAAGAAACAGAAAGAAGCAAATGTCATTGGAGATGAGTGAACAAAAGGGTAATAGTGGGATATGTTCAAGATGCAGACAAGTCTCAGATTACGCAGGGCTTTACTGGTCAAAGAAAGGAATGCAGATTACTATTAGAAGAATAATGGGGAACACAGGAGAGTTTAGACAAGACAGTGATATGAGCAGATCTAATTTTCTTTTAAAGGATCGCTCTGTCTGCTATGTGAGAATGGACTGTACTGTGATGAAGCAGAAAAATTTCAGCAGAAAATAATGATAGCATTGGATATATCCCATGGGAAATACTGAGTCCAACGATTTTAAAAATACAGAAAATACTGTAAAAATACAAAAAAATACAGAAGGAATAGACTTTCCTTCAGAATTCCAACTAATCTACATAGAAGAAATAAGGGAAACAGAAAACCGCCATTAGAGCACCACAGTAATCACTATTGTACACACACACACACACACACAAACACACAGTGCATGGATGCTAAAATTAATGAGCAAAAGTTTCAGAAAAAAACAATACAGTTGGGTCTCTTAGCTGTAGATTCAGCATTCATGGGTTCAACCAACTGCAGATGGAAAATATTTGGCAGGAAAATTGCATTTGTACTGAACATGTACAATTTGCTGCTTGTCAATATTTCCTGAATTATTTTCTGATTTAGCTCAGTGGTTCAGCTCAGTGGTTCCACTCCCTGCCCTGCAAGCGCAAGGACCCAAGTTTGATCCCCAGTACCAAAAAAAAAAAAATTTCCTGAACAACACAGCTTAACAACCACACATACAGCATTTAGACCGTGTTAGGTTGTAAAAGCAACCTAGATTTAAAGTATATGGGAGCTGCTGGCCATCATGGTACATGTCTTTAATTTTAATACCAGCAAGTGGGAGGTGGAAGCAAGAGGACTTTAAGTTTGAGGCCATCCTGGGGTACATAGTGAGACTCTGTTCGTCAAAAAATAATCAAAATAAAATAAAGTATATGGGAGGATCCACATAGGTTAGCAGCAAATACCACACCGTTCTGTATATAAGGGATCTGAGCATCCAGATTTTGATATCCAAGGAGTCACAGACCCAATCACCAACAGATAATGAGAGATGACTATATCTGCAGTCTTTGCATAGTCTCAAAGTACTTCCTCTAAGTATTTACTAACTACAAAGGGAAAAATACCAACTTGATAGTCTAGAAACCAAGCAGACACCACTTTGTTTTGGGGAGGGTACTTCTGTTTGTTTTTTGAGACAGGGTCTCTCTATGCAGGTCAAGCTGGTCTTGAACTTACAGCAATCCTACCTCAGCCTCCTAAAGGCTGGGATTATAGGAATGTACTACCACACTAAGCAGCAGACACCACTTTGACCAACATAACACTACCAGTATAAAACACAGTAATCATCATATGTATCCTCTAGTATTTTATTTACTGAGAAAAGCATATCATTTTTGTGACATTCTTAAAAATACGTAACTTCAATCTATTCATGAGAAAACGTAAGACAAACCCAAATAGATGGATAATGTACAAAATAACTGACTACAGTTTTCATCAAATGTGTCAAATCTATGGAAGACAAAGAAAGACTGAGAAACTATCACAAATTAGAGTTAGGGAGACATGATAACTAAACACAATGTGGAGCTAGATATGCTGGTCCAGGCCTATAATCCTAGCACTCTGAGAGGCAGAGATAGAAGGATTACAAATTCAAGCCCAACTGGCAAGTCAGTGACTTTGTGAGATTCTGTCTCAAAATAATAAAGGACTGAGGCTGTAGGTTAGTGGGAAGGCACTGGGTTTAATTCCTAGTGCTTCAAAGAAGAAAAGGAGAAGGAAGAAAGGGGAGGGGGAGAGGAAGGGAGAAGGGAAAGAAGGAAGGGGGAAGGAAGGGGAAGGGAGGGGAGGGGAAGGAAATAAATGCAATGTGCGATCCTGGAAGAGAAAAAAAAATTAGTGAAAAAACTGGTGCCAACCAAGTAAGTCTGAGGCCAGCCTGGGCTACATACATAGTGAGACCTTGTCTCCAAAAACCAAACCAAACAAACAAAACAACACTAGGAGAAGCTGGGTGAAGGATACATAGGAACTGTATTATTCTTGCAATTACCCATAAATCTATAATTGTTTCAAAATATATACATTATAATAACTAATTTTTTTCTAAATCTTCCAGAGTGGTTTTAACTTTTATAGCAGAATACAATAACTTAAAATAAAGTTTTAAAAAATTATGACTTACTTTTTATACAGAACTCCATATGGTTTTTTCAGTGCATACTGTAAAATATAATTTATAGCATTCAAACAAAACATTCTGAAAAGCACTGATAAAAATAAAGCATTGTAACATTCACTCTACAAGACTGCTCTGGTCCCTGAATCCTGTTCTGATGTCTTCTGCTTGACTCCTTTTTGATCACTTACAATAACGTGTAACTTCCACTTAATATTTAACTTAGACTAGACTTTACTAATTCAAGGTTTTCATGCCCTTTCAATAATCTCTCCAACTTAAATGATTCCTTTCATTTTTCATTTTAAAAACTCTACCCAAAAAACCAAAACAAAACAAAAATAACTCTACCCAGTTCATTCTCTTCATGCAAAATGGGAGTAGAAAGAAGGGTAAAAATCAAAACAAAACAAAACAAACAAATCTTATCTGAGCTGACAGAATTAACTAAAGATAACAACTCAGAATAGTCATATTGATGACAATGAGAATACTATCCAGAGTTTAAACACAGCCCTTAAAAAAAATTTTCCTGTTATCTTCTAGCTTTTTAAAATCTACTTCTTTCCACTTACCCATGAATAATCTATTGCCTACATGGCCACTACTGCCCTAAGAGGGAATAGCAAAGACCTAAGGCACTGTCTTGTGTTGGAGAAACAGATCAATAAGGAATCAAGGTGAAATGATCTTGTCAACTAACAGAGCTAGTAAATAAAGGAAACTGACCAGTGACATCCACCTTTTTTAGGTACTGAAACTTTTGATGGTGACTCTCAATCAAACATTCCCTGTCTCAAGATAATGAACACAACTTCTTTTTTTTTTTTTTTTTGTACCGGGGATCGAACTTGGGTCCTTGCGCTTGCGAGGCAGGCGACGGAACCATTGAGCTAAATCCCCGGCCCCACAACTTCTTTTTTTTGACAATTCAGGAACATCATTTAGAATTAACCACTGTAATAATATGAAACACCATGCTATTCTTAGAATTTACTTAAAAGTGTAGGGTCACTGTATTGAAAGGATCTGGGAAGGAAAGGGGCATTGCCCTGTCAACTCAATGACATTTAGACAACCATTTCAAAAAAGGATGAACATATATTAGGCATTAAGATATCTGAAATGACCATCATGTTTAGTCATGATAGCATAAGGGGTTTAGTCAAGTTTTTTTTTGTTTTTTGTACCGGGGATCAAACTTAGGATCTTGCGCTTTCCAGGCAGGCGCCGGAGCCACTGAGCTAAATCCCTGGCTGTCAAGTTTTAAAAGATATTCAATTAAAGCTGGCCAGGGTAGCATACCAAGTGCTGTAATCCCATCCCAGCACTTGGGAGGCTAAGACAGGGAGTGCCATGAGTTCGAGGCCAGCCAGACTATCCAGTGAGACTATCTAAAAAAAAAAAGGCAAACCAAACCAAAACAAAAAAGTAACATATTCAATTATTTACTTGATTTAACTCAATAAAATCTATTAGCTATACTTAAGGCCTAAATACCCAAAACTACCTATGAGATATCTACCCATGCTGATTAAACACTGAGTACCTGTGTCCAGACACTGGGCTAGATGCCACGCCATGGAGGTAGAAAAAAGATTCATCTTCCCTAAATCAGATGTCCCAAACTGAAATTATCACCTCTCTCTTCAAACCTGCACTACCTCTGGCATTACTGCCCGTCAAGCACTTAAGCCAGAAACCGAGGCACTGTAATTCTCATTAATACCTGAAGTCCTCTGCTCTTACGATCTATGCGCTAATAGGCTCTTACTCCTTTAACGGCACCAGACTCCGATGTTCTTTGCCAGGCTGATTGCAAAGACTACTATTTTCTGAAATCTGCAACTGGTCATCAGTGCCCTGGCAAAGCAAATAACCTCTGATTTCAGCTCTTCTCTAAAGCTAGCAAATGTTAAGACAAGGCAAATTTACCTGTATGTTTCCCCAGCAGCTCAACTTGGTATGCTGAAAATTTCTAAAATGATTCCAACACCATTGAAACAGTAAGTATATGTACATACCACGTCTTTCAGTACTTGTGTCACTGTTGCATTTGCATTTCCCCCTTTGATCAGCATAGCATTTTTATTATTTTCACTAAGTTTCGGTTCTCTCTTCTCAAGGAATCTCTTGGCCCTTTTTGTTTTCGGCTTTCTGTTCAGAAAAGCACAATTCATAACAATTTAAACATTTTCCTCATATTGTAAAATCGAGACTTGAACAGTGAACAAATTCTCTTAAAAAAACCAATCAATAGGGATGGGTATTTTGATCAGTGGCACTGCACCTGCCTCGCAAGTGCAAGGTCCTGAGTTCCACCCCCAGTACAAAAAAAAAAAAATCAATAAATGTTTCACTTATTTATCAATTAGGATTCCACCATTAAACAAAATCTCACATTTTAAAGAGATAGCATTAAGGGCCAGGGATTTAGCTCAGTGGTTTCACTGCCTGCCTCGCAAGCACAAAGACCCAAGTTCGATCCCCGGTGCCACAAAAAAAGAGATATCAGTAAAAGATAGTCTATTACTGGTGTTTTATTAGCTTTTGATTTTTTTTAAAAAAGCTTTCATTTGGGCAGGGGATTTAGCTCAGTGGTTTCACCACCTGCTGCGCAAGCGCAAGGGCCCTAGTTCGAGTCCCGGTACCAAAAAGAAAAAAAGGTTTTCATTTTAATCCTCCCAATATTCTTTTATTACTACTGTTTTCTCAATGTTTTTCAACTAAAAAATAAAGGACTCAAAGGAATTATGTTATTTTTCACTCCATTATTTTTTCTTCAAAGTAGATAAACTTACCCCTACACCCTAACACAAAAAACTGCATATCAACCTGTGGGCATTTACTAAAGATAAGGAGGCTGATTACTATTTCATCTTTCTTCCACGGTCAAGATTATAGTGACTGTCAAGAAACTACTGTCCCACGGTGACATCCTCGCTAAGAAAGTCTACATTACTGCTCTTAAAGGGGAAAACTGTTGACACTATTACAGACCAACTCTATATATTGAGGCTTTATCTCCACCACAACCCTATGATTACAATTATTATCTTTGTTTACAAATGAAGCAACTAAGAGGAGATAAAGAATTTGCCCAATGTCACACAGCTAGTATAATTAGCCAATTTTCAAAATAAGCTAGATTTTAAAACTTATCTTAAGGTCAATTACTGTACTCTATAAAATATGAAGAGAAAATCAGTTCATTATTCTGACTTTATGATGTGACAGTCCATATTTTTATACATTTCTTTTCAGAAAAAGGATTTTTTCCTTTGCTTCCTCTACATGACGGTCTTGCTTTTCAA